CCCCCCCCCCGAGTGAAGCATGTTTGGAATCAAACTCTTGTGATAATCATTGATTAGATTATTTGCAGTGAGTTATAATTCTTTAGTGAGGATTGTAACATAATGTGTGTCAGTGTGTTACATCATGTTTTGAAGTGTAGCACACAAAATTTCATTTCTAAATTCCCAATAATATTGAAAAGTACAAAAAATTTTGAGGTCCTCATATTATACTGTTTGAAAATATATTTCACAAAAACAAATGTTGCTCATTTCAAAAGCAAAAATAATTTTAAATGGAAACAAATTAAAAACAAGACAAAAATATATTTCTAACTTTGCCAGTATCGGCTAAGCCCACATCAGAAAGAATGATAGGAAGTATATGTATTTGTCTTGTGGCTGTGCGTTAGCACAGGGCGGCAACACATTAGGGGGGGTCCTTATCAGTGGTTCAGGTTAATTGAAGAAAGAAAGTGGCAAACAATTTAATGTTGGGTGCTGGCTTGTGTGTAATGTTAGCATCTTCATTTTTTAATGCAGTGATTGAAAATGTTATGTTAGCTTATAAATTGTAAATGATTGGAAAAATTTTGCAGACAAAAGACCAATATATTGTGGATCAGAAATGTTCTTTATTGAATTTTTGAGATTTTGGTTGAATTTGCTGCTCTCTTATTTTTCTCTTGTCAAATTTCTGGATGATTGTTTTATGAATCATAAAAGTCGTGCCCCCAAAATGATTCATGCTCGTAACAATTTGATCTAAGGTGTTTTTCTATCTATATTATGCCACAGCAGTGTTTGGTACTGTTATTTTATGTGAATACATTATCTTCCTTTCTTTTGCGGTGTTAAAATTTGTTGGAGAAATAATTGGATTATGAAAAATGGCTCTATGTGCGCAATGCATGCAAATTCATTTTAAAGGAAAGCAAAGTTACTGCAATTAATTAAGAAGACTACATTATTAGACAGTAATACAAAAGTCATGGAAAATGAAAAGAAAGCATTTCGATAAAATGGTACTTTTCTGCAGTTTTTAATGAAATGAATGTATAAAAGTTGTCAAGGTTTTTACCTGCCATTACACATGGATATGTTTGTATACTTGCAGGTTAGGTTTTATCTAACAACTGTTTACGTTGTATTTATTGTTTTATTATAAATCAAATTTTGGCATTAATATTATGAGTTATTTGTTATTTAGTTCTACATTTTGTGTAAATGTAATGATGCATAAAGATGCCACGCAGGCTCATAATTTATTGTTTATAATAAACACTCAAAATCTGGCATGAAGTGAAGTATTATGTCGAGCAAATTTATTGAAGAAAGGCAAATCATAGAGTACAATTAATGCAATAAACAATATAACTTCACCTTTAAACATTTATGAACTAAAATAAGCTTCCTCAGAACTACATTCATTGCAAACAAAAAGCCTTTCTTGAGGGCTTTCGAGCAAATATAACAATGCTGCATGATCCTGGTTTGCCTCTTCGGACAAGGACATCATCTTTTCTCTCTCTGTAGCTCCTCTACATAATATATTACTCTGAAATGAAAACAAATCTAAGCAACAGAAATTACCGCAAAGGGATGCCGGACAATATTCTTGCTAAATCTATGAATCTTATCTTCAATTTAAGGTATCCAAAACACATCTAGAGGATACACTAAGCATTTCTCAACTTCCAAGTATCTGAGACACAAAAGAGAGTGAATAACTGTCAGAAGAGTGGATGTGATAATCCTATCAGAATATAAAGCGATTGCTCGCTCTTGAGAAAACATTGGTGCTTCGCATTAATCAGTGCCTTCTCATATTGTTTTCCTTCACAGAACTGTGAAGAATGATGAATGGATGCAGAGTTGCATTGTTGGAGCATTGTATCAGTGTTGAAAGAGATCAGTAATATTTAAATAAATCCAGAATTGTTAGATTTTTTCAAACAGTGGGTTAAATGTTTGACATACTTATGGAGAAAATAGTCTTTGTACTGAGAAAGATTTTTGTTTGTTATAGATACTGTGATAATAAGTTACATTCAGTGTGGAGATTCTTTAACATTTATTTTTCTTGTTTATTTATATATGTGAAATATAAATGAATATACCTCTTCTTAAAATGTCAACTTTGTATGAAACCTCTGTTTGGGGATTTTTACTGCATTTTGTGTGCAGCAAATATGAGCATTTCACTTGTGATATTTTCTGCCTGGCTAACCTGCACTCTAGTAGTATAGCTGCCTTTGGTGTTTTAGACAGCTTTTTGCAACTTATCTGTGTGTTTCTTTATTGCTTAGCAGGCGTGATTAGCACCGTAGTCCCAGACTCCCCGCACAAGATCTTCATTGGAGGTCTTCCCAACTATTTGAATGAAGATCAGGTAAGAATGTGTATTAATGTATGCCTCTTTCTCAAATATGACATTTTGCTGATAATTTCATTTAATATGTTGTTCCACTCTTGAAAAATTGGACAAGCTTTCTGTTCTTAAGGAAATTGAGAATCAGTTTTTCATTTATTAAGAAAAATAAATGTGCCTACATTCAATGTTTTAGATGTGCAAGGGATGGGATATTTTGATTTTTAAGTTTCATGATTATAAAAGTTCAAGAGAGTAATCAAATAGCCTTCATAGAAACTGTAACAGAGGAAATGTGTTAAATCTAAAACTTGTATGATGGTGTGCTTTAGTCATAACACTTGTTTCTGAGGGAAATTAGACATTCAATGAAAGGTTTTGTGTTTTGCACATTTTTGAGAAGTTAACATTACTCCATAACTTAAACATTAAGGATAAACAATTTTATTTGCTGGTGTAAAAAATGTTGGTGCAATATTTTTACACACGTTTTGAGATTCTTTTCAATCTTAATCTTTCATCCAGTTACTATGATGCCATTAACACATTGCATTTTTAAAATCTACATTTGACGCTATCCACATGTAACACTAATACTAGAGCTAAAGATTTGGAGGGAAGAAGACAATCGAGTGTCACTGAACTGCTTGGTAAGTGGGCTGATCTTGCTCTGTAGGCAGGAGATCATGTTTAACAGACATTTCATGCAGCTGTCTTTCACATCTTGACATGTGTGTGTCTGTCTCTGTCTGTGTGTGTATCTCTGTCTCTGTCTGTGTGTGTATCTCTGTCTCTGTCTGTGTCTGTGTGTGTATCTCTGTCTCTGTCTGTGTGTGTGTGTGTATCTCTGTCTCTGTCTGTGTGTGTGTGTATCTCTGTCTCTGTCTGTGTGTGTGTATCTCTGTCTGTGTGTGTGTGTGTGTCTCTGTCTGTCTGTGTGTATATGTCTGTCTGTCTCTGTCTGTGTGTGTGTATGTATTTTTAGAACAATATGCTATTTTTATTTACTTATTTATCTTAAACTTGTACTCATCTTTCAATTATTTATGGTTAAAATGATGGGAAAGGATTCTGAAACTCAAGAAAACTTGCACATATGATCTCCCACATACCTCACATGCTGTTTTTTGACTAAATAAATGTAGATATGCCAATTGCACTCTCATTTTTTTTGTTTTTTCAAAAATTCTCTCTCTTTCTGTCTTTTCTTTCTTTCTTTTTTTTCTGCTTATCTGACTAATTACAATAGTCAGATTTCAATTTGTCAGAGATCAATTTGTAATTACATTATAATTATTATATTATTGTTACAAGATTTTCATCTCCACCCCCTAGTAACATATTTTTCCATACCATGTATTCATCTTCTTCTTCCCCTGCTGCTTCTTGTTCGGGTCATGTATTCACAATACAAATAAACTTACTGAAAAGGCCACCTTCATTACACAGGTTCACTTCCATTAATAGTCATTTTTTTGTGGAAGCTATTGTTCTCCAAATTGCACATAATTCCCTCTTAAGTACTCACCTGACCCAGCAGTTACCAGCTACACAAATTATGTGGGTTAATGTATTCAGTTTCATCTTGATGATAGCAAGTTTGAGATGCAACACTAGAAGAGACCAAAGAGGTATGGAATATTGTTGTTTCATTATCTTCATTCATCGGGATGTAATGACAGATCAATTAGAAATGCATCCTCCAATGAGAGATAGAACTGAAGAAATCACTCTTGTGTTTCATACAACAATAATTGGAAAGAAATGAAATCAGAAATAAAGAAGTTTCAAAACTGAGAACTGATTTTGTGTAAGAATTGTTCATGTACATGTACTGCAAAAACAGATTCAGGTGTTATGTAGTTTTTTGTGTCATTCAAAATCGTTATCATTGTCATTACAATTACACACAAATCGTGAAATGAATCGTATCGTTTTCATTGACATTACAATTACACACAAAATTATTGAATGGTGTTTATTATTGCATTCTGAACCTCTAATTTCTTCTCCAATTATGTTTTCATTAAAATAAAAATAGTGGCCTTTAATGTATGAGTGGGTACTTCTTGGCGATGTTAGCAATGAAATTTTTGCACGAGCCATATTTACCCAAACATAAGACAAGATTTTTTCCTAAATGTCTCAGTCGACAAATGCACAAACGTCGTATATTTGCAGATTAAGCTGGTTGGGCGTTGTTTTACAGTGCCTTTCTATGTTAAGAAACTCAAATTTTAAGGTAACAATAAGCTGTGAAGACTAAAAACTTAACTCGCGCACTTAACTCTTCGCTTTCACGTGTAATTATATTTGCGGTTGTATTCTCGGCATCCTCTGTGAATTTGCTGGTCAATTCAGACAAATATTTTTGAGTGGGCCTGTAATGAGAGGGTCTCCAACCAATGTATCAAACGAAACCGTAACATCACAATGAATACAGAGGTTTTGTTACATGGTGCGGGTTTGAAGAGATTGTACAGAATCTCGGTTCAAGGCCCGGTGAGTGCGAAACTGTGTTTTGAAAAAGACTGAAATGGGAAAATATAACGTAATTAGAAATTCGAATTTTACATCAAACACCAGAAATCAATACTAAAAATATTTTCCTTTGGATAGTTTTTGCAAACTTAGGGACTTGCCGCCATTTTCCAGGTTACACTCAAAACAAAGGATCAGATAGGTACGAGTTTGTGGTCACAATTCAATCTCACAATCATTAAAAGATACTAATTTTAAATATATTGCCTATCAACAAATGCAGTTCAGATAAGCAAAGTGCAAAATCAGCATGCTTAAAAAGGCAGAGGATGTCGTGGCACAAAAGGAAGAACAAAAAGAGACACCTTGATACTCGTGAAGATGTTTAGGATAGTGATAAAACCATGATTATAATCGTTTTAAGGAACTAGAAAATAATTCAGGCAATGAGTCTTAACATTCTCATCAAGGCAGTTTTCTGGTCAATGAAATAATTTTATTTTAACTAAGTAGTAAGAATTAGATCAAAATTTAAAAAAATTCTCTGGAGGCTTCTTCAAAATAGGGGTTGTGTTATATAAAGAGTTGACTTATATTTGGGTAAATAAATAATACTGCATGTCTGTTTTTCCCCATTGGAATAAAGATCGTTAATTGGTACTTCTGTAAAGAGCTGTTTTCCTCAGAAACTAATAGTGACCACTTAGAGGTTTTCGTGCATTTTAAAATTTATTGATTTAAAACAAATTATGAAAAATAACCATCTATTTATCAGTAATTATCTGTTAAATTAATAAGCAAATTATATGCAATTGCAAACAATTTCCTTGTTTAATTATTAATTATAAAGTGTTTATCTTCCGTGATGGCACAGATTTTACAATAATCCAAGGTTTTAGGACTAAACCACACTACCATACAAGCCCAAAAAATTAACAATCTTCTTCTAGTATGGTTTCAGTGAGAATAAAAAGATTAGTGGGCATTTTTAATTTGCTTTCAACATTTTGAGTTTTCTTTCTTTCTTTTTTTTTCCCCAAACAAGTTTGTTTCTTTTGTTTGCTAATGGTTATTTTTGTTGTTTGGTCCTGATTTCCAATTTGTTTTATGTACAGACAACTTCAAAGGGATATGATGTCTCAAGTTTTCTTTAGGTATCTTGTGCAAAATAGTGCTTCTAACCCTTGGGTTTGCTTAAATAGAAAGCTTTCATTAAATTCCATTCGAAGAATTTTGTATACTGATGTTCTGTATTAAAATGCACAGGCTCTTCTGACTTTCTTTCATTTAGGTTGTTGAGGGTAGAATTGAGAAATATTGTGATACGTTGAAGAAAGAAGAGGAACATATTTTTCCTTGAGGCAATAAGAAAAAAGTTTCATTTAATGGCAAAAAAGTTATTTAGAAATACTGTTTTAGCATCATGTAGAGCTGCTACAATGAATCAGATGACTTAGTTTATATTTCTAATTATATTGATTTAGGAATTCTAGAAGTTACTATAGACTATGAAAGGAATAACAGATTCTTTGGACATTTTGAAGGTTACTACATTTAAGCAAACTTATGAAACTTTGGCATTTTGCCTCAAGAATGAAGCAAGGTAAGTGTTCACTTTTCTTCCCAATTTAGGTGCTTCATAATTGGTTTGTCCAGTTTCATAACTAGCATTCTATCCTCGTTGAGTGGTTTAACACTTGATCGTTTGGTTGTATTGGAATGTGCTTTACAGCAATTTTGTATTGGAGAGCATTTGCTGCTCATGAAAATTTTTGACATACAAGTAATGAAAGTCTACTTTTTTGGTCAAACAGTCATTGCATTTTGTTAAACAATGTCATTGCGGCTTTTTTAAATTTCTAAGTTTTTCTTCTTGACAGTTTTTTATAAATTGTGTTCAGAACATTTTCTTGAGCTCTTCTTAAAGTTCAGTCTCAAGTGTACATTAGACTGAAGTTCTAATTTGCTTTTTCCAAGTTTTGGTCTTTAAATATTACATCATTTAAAAATTTCCATAAAATTATCATGAACTGCGTTCTGCAACAATTTTAATCCCTGCTTCTGAAATGCACGTACTGAATCTTCTGTAATGTGCTAGGGGAGTCTTCATTCTTACAACATTTGGTCTCTAGATTTACAATCTTCATTGTCCATCAGTAGTATACATACTGGTTGTTCTCTGCATACATTTTTCATTTTGTTTTCAGTTCTTCCCAACGTTCTATTGCAGGCTCCTTTTTCAGTTTTGTGGAGCAGAGGCCAGACGTTCTTTATTTACAGGCATGGGGGTTTGCAGAAGTCACAGTAAATTCTCTTTCAGAGATACGTGAATATTTCAGGTTAAAGCAACATAAAGTGGAGAAAATTAGCATTTTGTTTTCAGAATTTCCTCAAACATTTTTCAGCTTGATGCAACCTAAGGCATAACAAGAAACATTTGCTTCAAATCTTTTAAGAGTATCTTAGATTAAATTTTTCAGCAACGGTATTTTTATTTTCAGAATTGGTTAAAAGTTCTGAGTGTGATTGTAAATTTCAGCATTAGGTTTTCTAGCATCACGCAGAACAGTGTTATTTTCAGGAATTGCTGTACTATTGTTAGCATTATTTTGGAGATAAAGGAAGTAAATCTTGACAGGTCAAATGTTTACATAATTTATTGTAAAAAGTTATGTAAATTGTTTAAAACTTGTACAAAATTACTGATTATTTGCTTCCTTCGGTAATATTGAGAGGAATTAATAAAAGTGCAATAGTTATGCACTAATTGTATTTTTTCTGGAATGCTTCACAACAATCTTCGATCTATTAATTAAAAACGTGTGAGAAAGTGTTTCTTAAACATCTGCAATAAAATATTTGACCAGTCAAAAGCAGAATTCCTGAAACAGCATAAGTTTTAGGATCTCAGCATGGATTCCAGTGAATACCTGTGGATTGTAACAAGTGGTTGCTGGCAAACTGAAAGTTAATTTTATGTTGCAAACCTTACTGAAAGTCACTCATCTGTGCCTCTGCTTTCTCCCCCATTCTGTCGTAGCTAAGGTATCGCAATCACGGGTAGTAAGAACCCTCCTTTGCTTGTCGATAATATGAGAGAGCGCAACACACGCACACACACAATTGTGGACCATAAAAGGCAAGTTTTTTGAAGCTTTAAGTGTTTTGGGGACTAAAGAGTTTCCAGCCCCTGGAATTGCCTTTGAAGTTTGGTGGTACGTAATCTGTAGGGAATTATTGTGCACATGACAAGTTGAAACAAAGATTATGGCATGAGTGATAATTGAAGTACAGAGATAAGCTGGTGAAATTGCTAATAGTCACAACAGTGGTAAGGCAAACTGTGGGCAAAATGGTTCCTAAAGCAGAATTTTATATTTATATATATATACACATATATATAAAGTGGCCAAAGGAACCTGGGTATTGTAGAGTTTTAGAAGAAACATATATGTATGACCTCTAATGCTATGTAAGATAAAGGCTTTGAATCAATTTCGTAGTTATATCCACCTAAGGGAAATAGCGTGAACCTGATTTCATTGATAAAGGACGAGTTTTTGGATATTGACATAATTGTGGTATGTATGAAATTACTATGGTATGTATGAAAGGAAAGTCACTTCAAAATGTCAAAAGAGTAGTGAAAATGTCAAATTTTATTTTAGTTAAAGGAGGTTCAGTGCTTCTAAAATCAGTATTTCTGCTCCAGTTTTGGATATTTTTTATGCCAGTTGACTATGATAAATTAGAATTGTAAAAGAGTTGCTCTGAAATTTAAAGTGATTCATGTAGCAGTAGAGATAATCCATTAATTTGTGATTGTATCAAAATCGTGGTGTATATTTTTTTCATCTACATATGTCATGGAGTGTGTTCGAAGTACAAATATGAAACAATTTGGAATTTAGGCAGGATGTAGCATGGAGTATTTGTGGCCTTGTTTCTTCAAAGATGGTGTAAGTAAAACTACATTTTTCAAAGTTTCCATTGCATGCATAGAGTGTATAAGAGATCAATAAATTTGTCTCTGTGCTGTTATATCTTGATCTCCCAACAATATTTCGTGAATATATCATAGAAAAGATGTTAATGTAGTTTTTAGGTTAAGACAACCATAAAAATTCGTATTGTGCAATTTCTTCAAATAAATGTTAGGTTATTGCCATAATCATTGTTGCAACTACTGTCCTTGGTTTTATTGATCTTGTAGAGCCTCATGTGTACTCCCACAAGGTAGGTATAAGAGTATATTGAAAATCATATATTTTAATATTTCACAAAAATGTCAGCTTGTTTATGCGTGTTTAACTTCGTGTAAATTATTCAAATGATGAAAAATATAATATTTATGAAAGCCTTGTTAAGAGGTAACATTTAAATAAATGCTATAAACAAGCTGTCAAATATATTTTGAAAGTTACATCACTTCAATGTATATTTGATTGCAGTTGAATTTAAATTTAATTTTTTCTTAAGTATTTTTTGTTGTATGTTCCTGTATATTTTGCCAATTCATTATTATTAATAAATGAATTGGTGACTTTCTCATTAATCAAAAGATTTTTGTTAAATTTGGGAACATGCAAGAATGGAGAATGGTTTGTTCCATACTCCATTGTATTTATCCTCAAATGTTATTTCAATTCATTATTGGAATTGATTAAAACAAATTAATACACATTTTATAATTGAAAAAACAACTGAGGATAAATATTTTTCATTAATGAAATTGTAGTTCTAATTTTCTTTCCTATGATTTCTTAGGTGAAAGAACTACTAATGTCTTTTGGGCAGCTACGAGCGTTCAACTTGGTCAAGGATTCCGCCACTGGACTAAGCAAGGGTTATGCCTTCTGTGAATATGCTGATGTGACAATGACCGATCAGGTTAGTAATGTATGTTTCACATAAAATTTCTACTTTTTTCCTTTTTCCCCTTTTGATTAAATTAAGTCAAATAAAAAACATTTAGCTTGAGGGAATTTAGAAGCTTGCTTTTGATTAAAATACTTAGGAGCTTAAGATATTGGCTATTTGATACAAAGTAGAATTGTAGGTTGTAATCTTACTCCAGTATTCAGAAAAATTAGTTTCATTTATCACACTAAATTAGGGTCTACTGTAAGCCATTGTAAAATTGTGTTTATGTGATGTAACTTAATGAATTTTTGCAATAGTGTTAAGGGTGACCTTTGATGAATTGAATGTTTTTAATTAATTTTTAAGAGCATGGAGTAATTGAATGTTTGATATTTTGTTTTTAGGCTATTGCTGGCTTAAATGGAATGCAGCTCGGAGACAAAAAGCTTATTGTTCAAAGAGCTAGTGTCGGAGCTAAGAATGCCCAGATAGGACAGCAAGCTCCAGTGCAAATCCAAGTTCCAGGTCTCACTATGGTTGGTGGTGCGGGCCCTGCCACTGAGGTAAGTGATGGAGACATGAGTGATTTTTGCAGTGAAATATTTAATTTTTGCTTTGCAAACCACAATCTTCTGGAATTTTTGCAGGTGTTATGCCTCCTCAACATGGTTACTCCCGATGAATTACGAGATGAGGAAGAATATGAAGATATTCTGGAAGATATTAAAGAAGAATGTAATAAGTATGGAGTTGTTCGTTCTGTCGAAATTCCTCGCCCAATAGAAGGTGTTGATGTACCAGGTTGTGGAAAGGTAAGTTGTGTTCCTGCATTATTGTTGTGATCATTAGTTTAATCTGTTTCGTGTTGAAATATAAATTTGTGCGTTTCAGGTCTTCGTGGAATTCAACTCTATAATAGATTGCCAGAAAGCTCAACAGTCTCTCACAGGTCGTAAATTTAACAATCGGGTGGTGGTCACTTCATATTTTGATCCAGATAAGTATCATCGTAGAGAATTCTAAGCAATCAAAATTTGTAAACTGCTGAGTGTATAATATGGACTTTATGGTGGTTGGAGGAAGGAAGGTAAAATGTGGAAGTCAGATCTATGAATTTGTTTTTTCCAAATTTGGAATACGTGGATCATTTGATCTTACATCAACATATTTTGTAATTGAAATGTATATTATAAGTAAATTTATCACAGATTGGAAAAGGACAGTAAAGTGATAAGTTTCACATTGGTATTTGTTCAGTTGTAAGCTGAACATTGTGCAATTTTGTGGATTGTTCAGTTCAACATCCAGTGTACTGGATCATTGTTTTCCTTTGTACATAGTGCAAACAGACTTCAACTTCATTGGTTCGTGCTGCCATTAGCTGGAAATGTCTTTTTTAAGGATAAAGCATAAATTTCCTTTATACTCATGACTATATGCTTGAACATAATGTATTTATGTGCAGCAGTTTTAAATAAATACAATATAAATTGCTATGCCCTTGACTTAATTCTCTTATCTCTTGCTCCTTTGAAAAGAAAAAGATGATTTTATGTAATAGATACCATTTTGTCATAATTCTCTTCATTCTTTCCAATAGTTTTGCTAGTTTTGAACTGTAAAATTTCATATGTTTGTAATGTTACCAACATGTGGAATGCCTGGCTTGTGCACATTTCTAATGGTGCAAGCAGTTCTTGAATTGCTATAAGAAATACAAAAACTTAGTATTGTGAACTTAATCTAAGTAATTAATAATATTTTTGAAACTATTTCATTACCTTCTAGATTATTACTGCGTTTTCATTCTAGTTGTAATTTATATTGGTTTGACATTGATTTTTGCTAGGTGTTATACAGTTCAGTTTGTGGTGATGGATCATACAATCTACGTGGTTTTGCATTTGTATGTGCTGCAAAGCTAGAACTGCATTTTGCAGCTTTCAATTGTTGTATAATGAAATTTAATGTAAAATTGTATTTCCTTAATATTATGTATTTTGAATTGAATGTTAAAACGTTGCTTTGACAGTGGTAACAATATTAGTAATAATAATTTATAACAATTACTTATGCTAAGTAGCTGTGGTGTTACGACACTGGTTGGCAGTTATGGAACAGGAAACATTCCTTCTCAATTATTAAGTATCCAGCTGTGATCAGGTGGTGAAAATGTAAAGTAATAATGATAAAAATGGTATAAGAATCTGAAGTTAAATTTTTTGAGCTTGAGCTGTTGAATGATCTGTTTAATATCTTAGTGACGTGTAGAATAAACATAGTTTTCATAATCAACTAAAGACAAATTGAAATTCAATTAACTTATCGAAAAATTGTTTAGCTTGATTCAAATGGATTTTGTTGAGTTGCAAAGAAACGTCCACCATAGTTTTTTACAGTGCAACATGAAGTCGACATAATAAAGTTGTATAATTATAAGAGTTGTCTTCGTTTAGTACATACAGTAGAGCGTCGATTAACCAAATGTCAATCATCTGAAACATCAAGTATCCGAACACATATATTCTCTGAATAACTATTTTTTTAATTAGGTATCATATAATATACATACTGTATTATTTTTCATTGGTAGTACTGAATATTGAGAAAAATTCCCAATATGATTGACTGTGATGAAATATTAACAAGATACTGTTCTATAATCGTTCTTCTGACTTCAGTGAACTTTGACAAGTCCTACAATAAATGCTTATGAACTCTGGATGTTCTATTGGCAGAAAAATGCTTTTTTGCTATCTTTAAGTGCTGTTGTATGCCAGGGTTTATTATTTACAGGATTCTGTATGTGCAATGCAGTATTTTAATGGTATGTTCTCTTAAAGGAACCTTATACATATGTACACTTGCAATTTTTATGGTCGATTATCTGAATTATCGAATATTCGAACTACATCTGCTCCCAGTTGGTTCGGATAATCGATGTCCCACTGTATAAGGGAAGGTGAGTATACATTTTAATTTCATTCTGCTCTATTCATTCATTTACACATTTTTCAAAGCAGTAATTCAATTCCTGTGAACTGTTTACTAATACAATATACCAGCTATTCGATATATCTAATATCATTTTCATAAGGGGCCAAGAGATTTCCATTAAAAATATTCCGAATGAGCAGCATAGAACTGAATCCTTCATTAAATTGCTACCCAAAACTTAATGAAAGACTTCCCAACTAGTGAACATGTTACCTCAGATTGCTGCTGTAGTATGTCAGGTGGTTCTGTCTATCAATCTAGGGGAGAATGGTTATAGTTGAGGTTCTATTTGTTCTCAGTCATTTGAAGAGACACACGAGACTTCAAAAATGACTGCACTTGACACAACCACCTGATGTCTGGTAGCAGCAATCGGTGGTAAAATATATCCACTAGTCGTGCAGTTCTTTCATGAAGTTTTGGATAGCAATTTAATGAAAACTTGTGTTATGTCACTCATTTGGTATATACTTATTGGAAATCTCGTGGCCCCTAATGAGAATGGTGAATTGAAATTAAATCATTGAAACATTCCTGAATGCCAATATCCCAGAGCAGAATTACTTTAAAAATGGCATTTCCTGCCTGGATTCAAATGCGAAATAAAATAGGAAGCGTTTCAGTATGTCTCCTGTCCAGTAAAGTACTACTACTTTTCCGACCGCTGGAGGGGTCATACTTTCCGCGCGGGGCGAGCGACAGGGTAGAGGGGATTGCACCGCGCGTCACGTGACTTACTCGCAACAGTTTCCGGAACATCGAAGCGGCTGGTTCGTTTGTGGCAGGATCAGTGTTAACGTGTGAAAACCATTAGTTTATCATCATGGCAGAGAGTTCCTAAATCTACTATACACAGCGAGTGTCGCGAAATTGCCCATGTGATAAGGAGAAAGAGGATAAATCTTTACATATCTTCAGTGAAAGAGCCTTCGAATATTCAGGAGTTGACCCACCACCATCGAAGCCATTGGGAAAGAATAAAAAGAGGAATGAGAATAGCACGAATTGGAAGTTGAAGTCTCCTGGTAAGAAGAGAATTGTCACGTGAAAATTCTGATAGTTTTGTCCAGTGTGTCATTTGAAATATAATTCTGGATTTGTACATAAGAGACTAGTGCCGACGGTGCTAAAGCTACTTCCAGTTGTTACGGGCAAAATTAATTTTCCTTGGGGCCCAAAATCTTTATTGAAGCTTATGAAATCAATGGGTTTTATGCGGTGGATGCTGATAGACTGGACATAGTGGATTGGAGATCCAGATACATTGTTCAGATGAAACAATTTCAAAAAGAACAGGTATCATCTTTGTGGATGAGACATGGGTTGATAATCCTTAAATTTCGAAAGTGCTGGCAGAATGAGGGCGTTTGTGATTTCCAAGTGAGGGGAAATGCAACAAGTAGACGGGGGGGGGGTATAGATTTCTTTGCGACTGTTTTCGAGCTGGTAGTACTGTGGGAGACTACCACGGCCAAATGAATGGCATTAATTTTGAAAAATGGGTGCGTGAAAAATTGCCACATTACCAGAGCATGCTGTTGTCCTTGACAATGCTCCATACCACAGTGTGGAAGTCAACAATTCGCCGTCTTCATAATCAAGTAAAGCTGACATGATTGTAGAATCGTAGCTTCAAATAATGGGTGAAGAATGTATGCGTAAGACTGATTTGTACCGATTAATTGCACCTCAAACCATGAGCTAAGCAATACAAGATCGTTGAGTTGTTAGCAGTACACGGACATAGTTTTATGCCAGTTACCAAGTTGCAAGAAAACATTGAAACTGCAATGCAAGAAGTCACTGTGCAGGACTGGCAAGGATTTTGCAGCCATGTCGAAAAAATAGATGTTTTTTGGAAGAAAGGTGGTATTGTGCTTTACATCATTGACGAAATAATTGTTAATTTGGACTCCGGCAGTGATTTGTCATAGAGTGAAGCCTGCAGATCATCAGGTCCTGAATAAGGTAAGTTCGACGCTGAAATAATCGTGCAAGAAAAACGTCCGCGATCATGAAATAAGGAGTTTTTCGCGCGGATATTTGTATGTTGTCGGCCGTGTCTGGGATGACACGCACAGGCCATTGCTGATACTGGAAGAATTACTACCGCCGTAGCGAATAGACGAGAACGTTTGATCGCTGTTTCACGTGTTGGGCCACCGATAGCAGTCCGGATTTTAAATGTTTTTAGACTCGATTTTACGTCATTCGGGTAAATTAAACTTTACATTCATATTATCAGTCACTTCTGCAACGTACTATTAATGAAGACTTAATATCCAACATAAATTAGTCTCGTACTTTATCATCCGGGACCGAATTATAATGACAATGCATTTTTTCCTCAATCTTGGGATGAGGATCACAATTTACTCACAAATCTATATATAGTATAAAGAAATTTATTTTCGTGCTTGTAAAGTTATTTTATCCCTTTTTACTTTTTCGTCTGCTAACGCAGAATAAAGTATTGTAATACTTCAGGGGGAACTATTGCTGGGTCCTGGTGACGAAAATGTACCTACATATAGAAAATTACTTCCTCTAACACGTGTAGTTAGAATACACGGCGGGTCCTTCATACTAGCAAATTCATTGACGGCTAAACGTCTGTCCGTCTGTAAACAACGCTAGCTGGTAAATTGAGCAAGATTTTCACCAAAATTTGTATTCCCTTTTCGATTTGACGTTGCGGTTGCGTAAATTAGGTATGTTACAATGTTTGCATTAAGTCAACATTTTTCAAAATTTTGAAATGGTTACAGGGGCTCGAGAATGGTTAATATTGTGGCGGAATATCTTGGTGCTCGGCATGACATTGTAGCTGTGTTCATTTGAAATTACAACTTTTGAACGATACTAGTTCATTGAGGACCTCTGGTCAGAAAAGGTTGGGGGGGGAGGGGAATTCCTCTTGTCAGTAATGATCATATAGGATAGTGAATTACTCTTTGGAACGGCTTTCCGTCAAAAGCTTCCATCTCGAATTTGACGGAAGCAGTGAGGCGGCTTCCAAAGGCGCATTTTGAAACCCACTCAGAAGTTGGCATTACTTCGTACTTAATTAATGCCACATTACCTCTATCATTCCCCCCCCCCCCAGTTCTTACCTATCTCCTCACGCAACTACCAGCTGCAAGAGGTAGGGGCTCGAAATAACCTCTAACCGTATTTTTATTCAAATACCCGTGATATATCCCCCTTGGTTATCATAGCTCATCCCGAACTTTAAGTGGAAGTTTCGTGTGCCGAGCCACTGACTAAATGTTTCGTGCATAAAGCACAATTGCATGCTATATAGTCATGCCAATGGCAGACGGCAGTTATTTATTGCACAGCCCATGGCGATTAACATTCAGTAATGGCATGTCCCCACCATAAGTCCTAGTATGAAAACAATCTTGGCACATAATGGGGTTGTCATGGTAAGATCCCCCTGACAGTTCATCAGTAGTATAACGGGGCGGCGGTCAGTATGCCCCGGAAAGAATTGATGGTTCTAAGGATTAGGGTTGGTGTGAGATAATGAGTACTCATACATCAAGGCCATTATGTTGATCCTCAGGGAAGCGAATGGTCAAATCAGAGTGGCAGTCAAACAATTCCTGCATCTGCATATGAGCACAGCAGATGTCATAACGCCTGGCTGAGAGAGCTGGAATCGCTGCGGTCCAATACTTTCCTAGGGTAGAATGAACCTGTGTTTATGATTAGAAAAATCTACAAATCGAGTTTGGCTGAGCTCCTGTTTCAGTTTGTATCAACGGGTATTACAGATCTCCAAAGTACTGAAGCTCAATTGACCCTATGTTCAAGATTTTTTGCGCTTATGAGAATAAATTCATATCAAATGCAGATTACGAGGTAGCGTCTTGGGAGAAGCTGGAATCCAAAGGGAGAACGGTAAACGATCCGATAGGAAATGACTTGTAAGACTTCTGAAACCTGGTTTATTTTATCACGGCACTCCAATTGGTATCTAGTGCCGCTGCCAATAATGGGAAGGTCCAGAGAGGTCCTTTCAGTGGTGGAAGGGGCTATGCCAAGATCCCCAGTCTTCAAGACGCTGGGGCTCACGTCTCGAGGCGATATATTTGGCTAATTGCTCTCAGGAGCTCTTAAGTTTTAAACCCAATATGTAAACTACAATGGAGCAATAGATCATTGCTGTTTGTGACGAACAGTAAATTCTTAGTCCCCTGGAAAAGTCTAGCAATCCTAAAATGCCTAGGAATTACTTAGTTACCTTGTCTTTAAATGGGAAGGAAATGTGGCGTATAAAACTGTGAAGTCAGAATCTGCGTTAGGTGGATTGATGCCGAAAAATTGAATTACGACAAAACGTTTGTCCGTGAACGTGAACAATACTAGCGGCAGAACAATGAGTAGGATTTTCACCAAAACTGATATTCCTCAATCGTTATGACTGACGTTGCGGTCCCCTAAATTTGGAATGGATATTTTGAATTTGTGGGGTAATTTACGTAATTCCTCAACATTTTTCAAAATCTCAAAAAATGGCTCCTGTTTTGTTTTTTTGTTTACATTTCATTCTCGTTTGAAGTTGACGCTTAAAGAAATCTTGTATAGAGCGCCTATTCGCAATCGCAAAAGTTCAAACTTTTCGGTGTTTTCCCACAATACCAACAAAGAAAATAAATATTTTCATGAATGAATTATATTCGTCAAAAATGCGTTCAAATATGGTAAAGTTCAAGTTTTCGAATAATTTGAGTCGTTTTTGCGTGAAATGTATGCAATTTTTAAGAGTTCTACAATT